TCATAAAACATTTACTGCAAAGCATCAGAGAGAGAAGTGGGTCTGTCTCCACAAGTGGAGAAGACCCTGGAGACCTGGGGAACTTGGGGGAGGTTTCTGGGAGGTTCCAGTCACATCGTTGTTCCCTGACTTACAATGGGGTTTCCTTCCAACAACTCCCGTCATATGTCCTGACATAAGTCCAATACCTTGCTTTTTTCAAGTCAGTTTTCATTATTATTGCCTTTTATTATATGCACCAAAACTAAAACCACAGAGTCAATTCCAATTCATAGCAACCCTATATAGGATTTCCAAGGCTACAAATCTTTAAGGGAGAAGAAAGTCTTCTTTCTCCGAAGGAACAGCTGGTGGGTTTGAACTGTTGACCTATGTTAGCAGCAGTCCAGTACTCATCCTACTGTGCCACCAGGACTCCTTAATACCAGTACAGGATCTTTAAACATCTCATCTTTATTTTTCATTGGGGGTTGGTGGTGATGGTGGTGTGCCGCAGAGTCGGTTCCGACTCACAGCGACCCTGTGCAGGGTTTCTGAGCCTGTATATCTTTACAGGAGCAGAAAGCCTCAACTTACTCTCACAGAACAGCTGGTAGTTTCAAACTGCTGACCTTGCGGTTCACAGCAGAGTCGCCACTATGCTGGTTGGAAACATTAATAAGATACATACTAGTGAGCATTTAGAATGATATCAGCAAATTACTTGCTGCAACATTGTGTATTGTATATATTATTACAAATTAGATGTTTTTAAGGGGGGCATGGAGAACAGTTGCAAATATAGTTTGTGGTAGCCATTATTACCTGCAATATAATTTTCTCGAGTTTTCCTTCAAAACTCTGGCTACTGGGGAAAAAAAAAAGTAACAAAAGCAAAGGTACAAGAAGAAAAAAGCAGAATAATTGTATGTGCGTTCCTAAAGTTTTATACTTCGCTCATTTCATCGTATTTTCTGCATGTAAAAATTCTGGCTCTCAGGATGAGAATGTTCGAAAACATCACAATCTAGACTGATGGCAAGCTGAGCCATTTTGTCTCCAAGAAGAGTACAAGTTGCTTCTTTTCTACCATCAGTTTCATACTCCTGTTGTTGTTGTTGTTAAGTGTAGTCGAATCGGTTCCGACCCACAGCGACCATGTATAGGGTTTCCGAGGAGCGACTGGTGACCTTGAACCACTGACCTTGTGGTTCAAACTGACTTTGCAGTACAGTGCATTAACCCACAGCGCCATACCAGAACTCCTAGCATTGATTACTCCGCAGTTCCAGCCCCTCTACCTGGCAACTACTCTTCTTCCCCAACCCATAACCCCTCTACGACGCACCTACTCACTCCAGCCCCCGCCCCAACTCCTCTCTAACTCCATCACACCTCTAGCCAGCAGACTCATCCTCAGTCCATCACCTCACTCCCAAGCCTGCAGAGCTTCCAGCAGCAAAAGAAAGATGTTGTAGTTAAGTGCTATCGAGTCGGTTCCGACTCATAGCGACCCTGTTTCCGAAAAGCAGCTAGTGGATCTGAACTGCCAACCTTGTGGTTCACTGCTGATCCTACAGCACCACACCAGGAGTCCACAAAAAAAGATGTTGTTGTTAAAAGTGCCGTGGAGTCGATTCCGACCCATAGCGACCCTGTATAGGGTTTCCGAGGAGCAGCTGGCGAGTTTGAACCGCAGACCTTGCAGTTGAAACGGCTTTGCAGTCTGGCGCTACACCAGGACTCTACAAGAAAGATAGGCTACAATTAATGTGCCTGCAGTATCTGCACAAGACCATCTTGAACTTCGGGAGGAACTCAAATCACAGTCTCAGCCATGGACAGGGGGGACCAGAGTTTAACCAGCGCTTGCTGCGGTCGGACTACGTGTGAAGAGAGAGCAGAAACCCAGTACCACCTCTTTCCAGACTCATTCAAGCAAAGGAACGACTGGACGAAAAGCTTTTGAAGCACTGGGTAACGAGAAGTATTCCTTAAATGTTAAAAGACTGACACTCAACTAGTCGGAAGTGACGCTTCAGCTGAGAACAGCAGGTCCTCCACGTAATTGGCCGCCACCTCAACTAGCGCTCTCCAGGACTGGCCCGACGAGGAAAAGCGTGGCTAGACCATCACAACCCGCTCCCTCAGCTAATCTGTCTTGAGACCCACCGAGCCTGCCTGACCAGAGCCCGAGCCGCAGCCTGGACGGGACAGCTTCGCCCGCCCCGGCACCCGTCCGGCGCCCTGCGGGCAATGGGCTTCAGCACTCAGCCACGCGCATGCGCGGCCCTTTTTCTCCAGAGGACTCCCCGGGTCGCCTGGACGCTGGCGTCTCAGCCACCTCCCTCTCCAGGTCCCTTTTCGCCCTAGACACCGCCCGCTGGTTCTCACCTCCGGCTCCGCTTTTCCTTCTCCCACAGGTACTCCTAGGCCAAGAGGCGGCCCGCGGGCACCCGACTTCCACTCAACCAGAGCCTCTCCGCGCTGTCGGTTTCCGCTTCCGGTGAGTATTGTGTATCGTGCTGCGGGGCGGAGGCGGGGGGGAGGAGGAAAGAGGGAGGCAGCGCTCCGGTGGCTCCGCGCCCCGCACTCCCGGACCCGAAGGCGGGAAGGTAGGTCCCGTCCCGCCGCCGCGCCCGCACCCCGGGGTCTAGCCCGGCCGGCCGGTTCTGCCTGCCGCGTCCCAGAGACCCGCGATGCGTCACCGGCCCCTCGAACGTAACTACAGCTGCCTCCACCCGCCTCGGGCCCGGGCGAACGTTTTGCCGCCCCGGCGACGTCAGCGCGTCCAGCGTTGCTTGGCTACCCCACCGTCCCCCGGTCCCGTTGCCGCTCGCCTCCTGGGGTGAAACTCTGACGCCGTCACCGCCGATCTTGGCTGCGTCATAGTGGCGGGCATCCCACCTTAACGTCACACCTCACCTGGACGCGCGTCCCTCTCTCCCCTGCCAGCCTCAGCGTTTCCTCTCCCCACTGTCCAATCCCCTGCGCCCTAACTGGCGGGAGAAGATGGAGATGGGGCTGAGATAGACTTGCGGACACCGCTCAGGAGAGAGTCGAGAGGTGGGACCTTGGACAGTGGTAGAAACAGAATGAAGTTTGCTCTTCCACTGGCAAGCGAAAAATAGGAGAGGAAGGATTAACCCACAGGCAAGCGAGGCTCACATGAGCTCCAAGTCCTCTCCATACTCCATCTCTCTTTCATACCACTTCTTCCTGTGACATTCTGGATCCATCCTGGCCCCTAACCGCATAGAAATCAACTCACTTCAGCTCAGGAAGCGACCTAGTTTCTAAGAAGATTGGGAGAGGGCAAGAGTCAAATGTGGATTCCCATAGTTAAAGAAGAAAATCATTTGACTGAACTTCTCTCCTAAATGCGAGGGTGAACAAAGTTCTAGATAAGTTCAACATCTGACATGTACTGTCAATATATATATATGAAGAAACCCAATACCATAGCAACCCTTTTAGGGTTTCTGAGACTGTAAATCTTTTTGGTAACAGACAGCCTCATCTTTCTTTCTCTGAGCAACTGGTAAGATTGAACCATCAACCTTGCCGTTAGCAGTCCAATATCTAACACACAGTTGCTAATAGTTGTTAACCCAACTCATTCCACGGTCACTTCTATTCAGTACATTGTTGTTGTGTGCTGTCAAGTCAGTTCCTACTCATAGTGACCCTGTGTAGGGTTTTCAAAGAGCAGCCTTTGGATTTGAACCACCAACTTTCTGGTTGGTGGCATATCCTACAATGCCACACCAGGACTCCATTCAGCACATGTTGCTGTTAAGTGCTGTCAAGTCAGTTCTGACTGATAGCGACCCTGTATAGGGTTTCCAGGGAGCAACTGGTGAGCTTGAACCACCGACCTTGCAGTTCAAATGCCTGCAGTCTGATGCATTGGCCTCCAGTGCCACACCGGGCAAGACTTATTCAGCACACATACCTGCCAAATTTTCTTCCTTCTATTGGATCCTTTGGGATAGATGGGTAGGCAGGTGGATATGGATGTAAATTCATAGAGAAATGCACTTACTCATGGATAAAATTATTGCTATTTTAAAGATGAAATAGGGGGCCAACCTTCTGCTTTATTAAGTCTTCTGCATTTCCATTCTTTTGAGGCATTGCTTGAGGGAGTTTTGATTGCCTCTTTACTTTCTTCCTCTTAATCCCCAACCACTCTAGAACCTATTAGTTGGAGACACAGTATATCCAGGGGATTAATTATGAATAGCTATTTTGGAAGACTCTAGTCATTGCTGAATATTTTGGTTAGACTTATCTGCCCTCTTTTTAAAAAGACAATGGTTTGAGCTCAATAGCATTCTCTAGTAGAGTTGTCACAAATTTCTCATTTTTCAGCAGTTCCACACGTCCAAATGTACACAGTCAAAATGGGATATTGTGTGAGTTACTTCAAGAATTTTCTCTAGGCTAGCCTAATAAAGGAACAATGATTTCAAACTTTCCTTTAAAGAGATTGTTACCCTCACCTAGCCCATCCCATTTATTATCCTTTGAAAGAATGAGAGAAGAGTTGCAGGGAATTGCGATTGAGCTTCATTAACATTTTGACTTTTATGGTACTTTGTACTTTCAAAAATTCTTTTCTAACCTATGAGAAAAGACAAAGGATAAATTGATCTGGAATGAAATCATTCTTAGATACAAGTATGACAAGCCTGAATCAGGCATACACTAGGCTAGAGTAAGGAGAAGCCTCTGTTTTTAACAAGAGACAGCAGAGGTTAGAGACAGAAAAGATTGAGGGGTGAGTGTCAGTTTGCTGAAGAAACATGGGGAGTGGGGAGGTTTGATTTACAGCTGGGAGCCAAGTTTAGATAGAAATGGAGAAAGAAAAGAGGTTGACTATCTTGGGGGGAAAGGAAAATAACAAGATTGAACTCCAAAGTAGTATTTAGTATAGGGGCAAATAATTAGGCAAGGGGTGGAAAAAAAAAAAATGAAACTTCCAACTAATATATTTTTTTTCTGTTCTCAAGTTAAACAATGGCAGAGACGGGTCTTTTAGAGGCTGGAGCCTCTGCAGCCTCCACAGCTGCAGCGCTGGAGAACTTACAGGTGGAGGCCAGCTGCTCCGTGTGCCTCGAGTACCTGAAGGAGCCCGTCATCATTGAGTGTGGGCACAACTTCTGCAAAGCTTGTATCACTCGCTGGTGGGAGGACCTGGAGAGGGACTTCCCTTGTCCTGTGTGTCGAAAGACATCCCGATACCGCAGTCTCCGACCTAATCGGCAACTAGGCAGCATGGTGGAAATTGCCAAGCAGCTCCAGGCCGTCAAGAGGAAGATCCGGGACGAGAGCCTCTGCCCCCAGCACCATGAGGCCCTCAGCCTCTTCTGCTATGAGGACCAGGAGCCTGTGTGTTTGATATGTGCAATTTCCCACACGCACCGGGTCCACACCGTTGTGCCGCTGGATGATGCCACAGAGGAGTACAAGGTGGGGAACCCGATGCATGATACCAACGTGGGGAAAGAGGGCAGAACAGCGATGAAGGGAGACTCCCTGGGTAGAAGATTATAAATTCCTTGAGGGCAAGACTGCATCTGGTCCTCACTCTAATCCTCTCAGAGCTAGCCACACTGAGGCCACGCAGTACTCTAGCTCAATTCAGTCATCCTCAAGTATGAAGAGCAGTGGTGTGTAGCGTATCCACATATTCTCTCTTGACCTTTGTAATGCATTTGTGCCTAAATTGTTACTATTTGTATGTGAGACCTTGGAATGTGTCTTGTTTTTCATTAATGAATGAAACTACATAGATAACGTAGATGAAATCTAATTTAGGAAGAGCTGAAGGGTAGTTTAGTTCTTCATTCTGTTCCCCTGCTCAGATACCTTTTATTTTCCCATTGGTGGTGTTATAGTTATTGTTAGTATCATCGAGTCAGTTCCAACTCAGCAACTCTGTATCCAGCAGAACAAGTCATTGCCTGGTCTTGTGCCATCCTCACAATTATTAACGTTTGAGGTCATTGTTGAAGTCACTTGGCCAATCCATTGTCTTTTTTTTTTTAGTATTTTGACTAAGTAATACCACTTTAAACTGATATCGACTAGTTTAAGCTAAGCCATTCTATTGTTAGCATCTTCCTTAGATCATGGATACCATAGCCTCTGGTTTAACTTGCTAATGGGGCACAGGGTGGGTATTTGAGTATTGGGAACTAGAGATTTCAATATTGTAACTTGTCACTTAATTATGTTGTAAACAAGGTTTCAATACATTTATTGGAGGTTAGAGTTGGATGAAAGGACTGGTTTGAAGAAGAATGCAGAAGGTCACTTTGACCTGAGTTAAGAGGATGGACAGGGTCAGGAGTGGTCACAGAGTTGGTGTCCATTGGACAGTTATGAGTTTGAGTGAGAAGAAAGTTGAATGGGCAGAAATAATTTGGGTAGTCTCGGGGGCAGGAGAAGGGATCAGGAAGAATTTTTCAACACAAATGACAGGTATGGAAGGGAGATGGACCAAGAGGTGAGATGGGTGATAAGCAAACAACCGGGTTGACCACTGAATGAAGCATGTGCCAGCCAAGCCCGTTATTACCTTTCCCTCTTCCTCCCCACCCCTCAGGAAAAGTTGCAGAAGTGCCTGGACCCCCTGGAGCAGAAGCTGCAGGATATCACCCGCTGCAAGTCCTCAGAGGAGAAGAAGCCTGGAGAACTCAAGGTAGAGGCAAGCGGTTTCATTTGGACTGCTCTGCTCTGCAGGGAAGTAAGCACACACTAGAGAATCCACTTGTTCTGATTCCCTAGAAAAATGCTATTCTCTTAAAATTGATGGCATAAGATTTGATAGTCATTAAACATTATACTTAAATAATGTATCATAAATTAAGTATTGATGGGAGGGTTGTAAGAGGTGAAGGAGACATACAGAACATCTTGCATCTGGCGTGTTGAGGGAATTCATGTCCATTGTTCCCAATTTACTTTGTAAAGCAAGGAGGGAAGCTCTTGGTTAAGTGTGCAGAGACAGAAGTTTCCTAGAGGGATTGAAGAGAGGACAATTTAGAAGATTCACTAAGGACAAAAGGGGAAGGAACTGACCAAGAGCTCCCAGGAGAACTTCCCAGTGGCATTAGGACCACTTTCTCTTCACTCAAGTAAGTTTAAGTATTCTAACTGATGGTGGTTCATTCCTAGAATGCTCTTCCCCTCCTTACCTGTAGCATCCTATTGATTCTCTAGGTCTCAGGATGAAAGCCACTTCAGATACAGCCTTAGTTTATCCTTCAGAATAAACATGAACTTTCTTAATTCTCATACTATTTTGGATCTTTTTCATAGCATTATCATATTCAAGCGTGTAGTATTTCAGCATCAGCTTTATGTCTTCTATGGAACAGTAAGCAATTATTAGTAGTAGCAATGGTTACCTGTCACCTCCAAGTTAATTCCAACTCATAGTAACCCTACTGGAATCTTGGGGTGGCACTGCAGGTTAATGCAGTATGGTCAATGTGAACTGCAAGGTCAGCGGTTCCAGCTCACCATCTGCTCCCAGAAACCCTATACAGGGTCGCTGTGAGTTGGAACTGACTCGAGGACACTTAACAACAACAGTGATCCTGTAGGGTAGAGTGGAACTGCCTTGTAGGGTTTCCAAGCCTGTGAATCTTTAAGGAAGCTCCTTTGGAGCAGGTTGGTGGATTTGAACTGCTAAACTTTCACTTAGCAGTTGAATACTTTAACCATTATGCTACCAGGGTTTCTATATAAATATAAATGATGTTGTTAAGTGCTGTCATGTCGGTTCTAACTCATAATGACCCTTTGTACAACAGAATGAAACAGCTGCTGTTACATTTAAGCTGTTATTACTTTGGTGCTTCCACTGTGTCAATCCATCTCATTGGAGGTCGTCCTCAATGATAGTAACTAATATTTATTGAGAGTTCTGGTGTTGTTATATGATAAGCATTGGACTGCTAACTGCAAGGTCAACAGTTCAAACCCACCAGCCACTCCTCAGATACCCTCTATAGGGGTCACTATGAGTCAGAATCAACTACACTTAACAATGACAATAACAGTATTTATGAGTCCTGTGCATTAATTATTATTTCATTAGGTGCCATAGCATTCCAAATTCACAGAATTTTGTATTAGGTTTCAGGGTTCTACCTAGGTTGAAGTTTGGGGCAAGTGGGCCATAGAGAAGTTACAAGAAGTCCTAGAGCTCATCTTTGTCAAGGGTGGCCTTAAATATCCTATAAGATAGATGCTCTTACCTCATGTTTGTTGTTGTTGTTGTTGTTAACTGCTTTCATGTCTGCTCCAACTCATAGTGACCCTGTATAGGGTTTCTGTGAAGCAGCTGGTAGGTTTGAACTGCTGATCTTGCAACTCAAACTAACCTTGCAGTCCAGAGCAGTATCCTGCAGTGCCATACCAGGACTCCACACAGGAGGAAATTGGAACCTACAGAAGTATCCAATCCAAAATCATTCAGCATCATAAATGCACAGTTCGAGTTTATAAGTACACAGCATAGAGATTAGTAAAGAATTCCAGAGAAATAATGAGTTTTTTGGAGTTGAGCTTTAAGAAGCACAGGAAATTTAACACAGGTTATAAAATAGCACAGTGTTTTGTTCTTAAAATGAATTGCCACATTTCAACAGAAATAAATATTACTTTAGTTCTTTGTGCATTTAAACAAAGTAACCATGTACAGTTTAAAATTTTTTAATTAATTTTGATTACTAAGGTAAACTTTAAAAATCTTTTGGAGGGTTCTGGAGAAACTTAAAATATTTTAAAACGAAGCTATTCTAGTCACTAATTTTAGTCTTCCTGTTGATCAGCTTCTTGCTGGTGGGCATTAAGGAGGAAAATTAAACTATTTAGAAACTTTTTGCCTGCTTGAACCCAGCTGCGGTGGTCTTCAAACGGTAAATTATCATCTCAATGGTCTCAGTACTCCCACCTGTGCCCCTTTTGTGATTATTTGATTTCTCCTTCCTCCTTCTCCCCTTGAATCCATTTGTCTCTCACCTACACCTCCAGAATCAGGCCTGTTGCCCCTTCTAAAAAAACTTGTAGTTGTTGTTGTTATTAAGTGCCATCTCACTCATAGTGACCCTGCATAGGATTTCCCAGGAGCAGCTGGTTTGAACCACCGACCTTGTGATTCTGTTGTTGTTGCTGTTATTGTTAAGTGCCATCCAGTTGGTTCTGACCCATAACGGTCCTCTACAGGGTTTCCAGGGAGCAGCTGGTGAGCTTGAACCCCCAACTTGTGGTTCAAACACACTTTGCAGTCCAGTGTATTAACTAACCCACAGAACCACACCAGGACTCTTGTTTTTCTGTAATCCAGGGCTTATCCTACAGCGCCACACCATGGCGATTGAAAAAACAACCAATCTACCTTAAAGTGTAACAACCAGATGAGTTTATAACAGGAGCCCAAAGAGGATGGCAGTGGAAGATCCAGTCCATTTATGACTGAACAGCATAATTCCCTTCTCTAAGAGAAGTTGTAAAATCCCAGATATTATTACATAATTATTATATAACAAAGATATATTTATTATATAAAAATCCTGAAGACAAAAATTAAGCAATTCATAGTAAAGGAAGTTAGGGTGCAGCATTTACACACACATATATATTTCTTATTTTGGTTCTAGTATAAGTCATTTGTTTTCAATTTCAAGCAGTTTATTTAAAGGGTCAGCACTGACTTGATGTACACCTATTTCTTAGTTAACATGGTTAGTTTCTGAAAACCAGGCATTCTGTGAAAATTGGCGATAGGCAAAAATGGAGGATGACTTCATCAGATCACAAAATGAAGGATGACTACTTCATTATATAACTATAAATCCTGTTATTAACAAGTTATATTATTAAGTGACTGAGAATCATGGCCCAGACGATTTGATGGACAGCCCTAATGATTATAGCCAGTATTACTGTCACCCAGCAGCTCAGTGTTTGTTACTGCTAGACAGAAAAAAGTCCTTCAACTTTTGTGCTATTGCCATAAATGAAAATGTTAGATAATGAGATCATTGGTAAGTGGGGAGTAGGTGTGGAGACAATAAACTTGTTTGATAAAGTGGGGGAAAAAAGGATTATTTTGAAAGCTTTTCATACTATAATGGAAAAGGAAAGTAGTCTGACTGAGTTTTGTCCAGTAGTAGGGGGTGCACTTTGCAATAGAATATTATTATCTCACCACATTTGCCCTAAAAATAAAACACCACGGCCTCTTCTCATTCTTTCCTTCCTTCCTTTTATAGAGGTGATATGTGGGTAGAAGTTTCAGATTCCTAACACTAGTTAGTAAATAGGAAGCTAAAGGTTCTCCTCTTACACATTTGTTATGCCTTCTTGTTTTCACTCTCTATTTGTTGGACACTTGTTTTCCATGAGTGTACTACCTCCTTAAGGGCATTCTGGAACTAAGGGAACATTACCTTGTTTGTTAAAACCATATAAGAATTACTCTACATTGTTTAATATAAAATGGTATTCAAGTTCAGACTTAAGTTTTGAATATCCAATAAAACACTTGGAAATTGTGCGGGACAGTTGATTATGTGGGATATTCTCACATGTTGTAAAACTGCAAGCATCCTTAACACGAATGCCCCCAACCATAAAAAACAAAACACCCCACCCCCACCCAGCAAGACCATCCAGTCAGTCCCCAGGAGACCTTATAGGATAGCACTGCTCCATAGGGTTTCCAGGGTTGTAAATCTAAAGAAGCAGGCTGCCTTATCTGGCTCCCGCAGAGTGGGGCTGTCTTCACACACTATATTACTTGGGCTCCTGCCCCCACACCCACAATATTGTTGTTATCATGTGTCTTCGAGTCAATTCCGACTCATAGCAACTCTGTATAGGGTTTCCAAGGTTCAGCAGGTTGGTTTGAACTACTATCTTGTGGTTAGCAGTTCAGTGTTTTCCTACAGCGCCACAACATTGTTTTTGTTGTTAAGTGTCCATCAAGTCTCGGTTCCAATTCATAGCGACTCTGTATCGGGTGTCTGAGGAGCAAATGGAGGGTTTGAACTGTCGACTTTGTGATTCACAGTGTAGTGCTAATCCTACAGCATCATACCATAACAACCAATAAAAAAAAAAAAGAATAATGTTTCCCATTTCCAAAATGTCCTTGTTAAGTGCCATGGAGTCAGTTCTGACTCATAGCAACCCTGTATTGGGTTTCCTAGGAGTGGCTGGTGAATTGAACCACCGACCTTGCAATTCCAATTAACCTTGCAATCCAACGCATTACAAATTAGTGGTGGTGGTGTGCCGTGGAGTCGGTTCCGAGTCATACCGACCCTACATAGGGTTTCCGAGGCTGTAAATCTTTATGGGAACAGAAAGCCTCATCTTTCTCCTGAGGAACCGCTGGTAGGTTCAAACTGCTAACCATGAGGTTAGCAGCCCAACTCATAACCACTATGCTGCCAGAGCTCCTTTCAGTACAAATTGCTACTCTATAAATAGGGTCGCTATGACTCGGAACCGACTCCACAGCATACTACCACCACCACCCTATAAATAGAAAGCAAAAAGAGAAGGTGTAATGGGTTTATAAGAGGGAAAGCCTTTCCGTTTACTATGCTTATGAATCTGAAACTTTTCCCACATGTCATTTTTTAAACAGGAAGGATAGAAAGAAACAAACAAACAAAAGGGAAAAAGACATTGTGTTTTCCTTTTATGACAAATGTGGTGAGATCATATTCTGTTCCCACATGCACCTGAGAAGGCAGCAATGGGGACGGAAGCAGCAAGTGACCAGAGAACTGTGCTAGGCAGCTTTGGCTGGGGACGAGGTCAAACCAAAAACTGCCAAACTTGCAAAACCCTAGCACTGGCTTTCATGATCACCTTCTCTTCACCATCTACCCTGCCTTCTAGTCCCTATGTATCCACTTCCTTCTTCCAGAGCCCCAGTCTCTACTTCTGGCTTGGGTTAATCCTTCCCCATTAGTCCAAAGAAGCTTCTCCAATCCTTTTTGGGGAGATGACATGTCTATGAGGTAGAGGCACAGAAGGGAGAACATACTGAAGGATTAACATTCTGAAAATTTATGGCTGGTGTTTTAGGGTACTATACAACAACAGTGATGGTCAAGGAGCCCTGGTAGTGTGGTGGGTTATGCTTTGGATTGCTAACTGCAAGGTCAACAGTTCGAATGTACCAACCAGCAACTCTGTGGGAGAAAGGTGAGGCTATCTGCTCCCATAAAAATTTATAGTCTCAGAAACCTTACACAAGGTTTCTATGATTCACACTGACTCATAAGCACACAACCACCACCACCAGTCTGGTATCAGATTTCAGGAGTTCCTGAGTGCTGCAAATAGCTACATACTTAACTACTAGCTAAAAGGTTGATGGTTCAAACCCACTCAGAGTTGGCTCAGAAGGTAAGCTTGGCAATCTGTTTCCAAAAGGCGGCAATCTTGTGGATGCTGTGGAGCTGCTCTGTGCACACCGGCTTACTGTAGGTCTGAATCAGTGAGTGGACAACTAGTAACAACAAAGGAATCTTCTCTTGGGGTAGGGACTGCTAATTTGAGGGGCACTATCTCACAGGCTTGGACCTGAAATCTACACATATATTTTGTAACAACCCATTACTAACCTCTTTCTACTTGGTTCTCTGGTTTTTCTTCAGTAGATGCCTTGCAGTATACAGATAATTTTAATCTTACCTCTAATCTTTAAACATTTGTACTTTTCTTGAAAGATTGCACAAGCTGGAACTTTAGAGATGGCAATAGCAGAGAGCGATAGCTATCTCTGAAATATCAGAATATATATATAGGTTATCGTATTATTGAATTCCAAGGTCTTCAGTACATTTTATTAAAACATAAAACATTTTTTAGACATTAATTTTTAAAAGTTAATTTTTTTTTTTAATTAATGGACCGGAATACTTACCCTTTTGCTCTGCTCCTATAAGCTTGTTCCTGTCAACATGCTCAAAGGATCCTTTTCTACTGAAAGGCTTCGCTGACTTTCTGTTCTTCTGTCTTATCAACAATTATGTGCTTAACTTATACCAAAGACAGAGTTTACTATTTTTGACTATTTTTTTTTTTTTTGCTTTGTTTTTTAAATCTCAATGGTTCTCACACTATTAATTCATCAGTGAAGGGTAATATTAGGGGTGGAGCCATTCTTTACAGAAGGAAATTCCAAGAGAAAAACACATGTGCTATTAAACTATTTATAAACTATTTGGAAGTCTGTCAATTCACACACACGGTGAGTGGAGGGAAGGCTCCCTCACGTCCACTGACCCTGCTGATAACGACATCATCCCTCTGTCCTCAGAGACTGGTGGAGAGCCGCCGACAGCAGATCTTAAGGGAGTTTGAGGAGCTTCATAGGCGGCTGAATGAAGAGCAGCAGATGTTGCTGTCACGACTGGAGGAGGAGGAACAGGACGTTCTGCAGCGACTCCGAGAAAATGCTGCTTACCTCGGGGACAAGCGCCGGGACCTGGCCCATTTGGCTGCTGAGGTGGAGGCCAAGTGCTTACAATCGGGCTTCGAGATGCTTAAGGTTCGACCTTTGCCCCTGCGTGACCCCTCGGGTCGAGCACAAACAATATAGCTTTGCATGGGCCATTCCAGTGGCCCTGGATGCTCACCCTTCTGCTCTGTTCTTTTAAACCTGTTTTTTCCCAACATGCTCAAAGGATCCTTTTCTACTGAAAGGCTTCTCTGACTTCTCCCAACCCCTTCTAATCATTTCTGTTCTTATGTCTTATCAACAAGTTTGTGCTTAATTTATACCAAAGAAAAACTTAACTATTTTGAAAGTCCAGTCTGAATTAGTGAAAAAGTATGCAATAAAAGTTTTGTAAACGGACTTCCATTACTTTTAAGATCTGGAACTTGATTAATCTAGTGCTAAAAGGGAAAGAAAAAAAAACATAGTTTAGAGGATACTTAGAATTATGTGTGATAATATATTATTTTTGATATGGAAATGATACCTCTAAAATATTTGAAAGAATGTTTTTTAAGCAATTGAACAGTATTGAAACAGACTTTAGGAAACATATTTAAGATGAAAGTACCAGCATTTGAATCCATGAGACTTTATTGTACATTTGTGTGCATGCTATGTATTGCTTGGTATTTATTCATGTGTCCTTTCATGTATGTGTGCTCTGCCTACCACATTAAACTGGGAGATCTTGCAGCGGGGCAGAGATTTGTCTTCTTTATGTTCTAAACCTGAAGTAATCTCTTATCAGGGGTTGACACACAGTTATCAATGTATTTATTTACCAATACCAGAGGGGGATTCCAAACAACAGAAAATTGTGACTCATTCCTGTGCCACCAGTTGGAATTGTCTCCTGAACCTCAAAGGAACTGAACTATGTGATTAGTACCCAGTGGGGCAGAGTAAAGAGCAGACACACAATCCCTGTCCCTTGCAACGAGCTCCCAGTGTCAGTGAGGAACAAACACACCAGAAACCATTTAGAAGTGATGTAAATTACCAAGCTTCATGACGACCAATGTGGAAAGTTGATGACCAAAGCTTCATGATGACCAAAGGGATTGGGTTGGGAGAGATGCACTTGGGCCCCTCTGGTGCTCTTCCCCTTGGATGGTGACTCTTAGTTTGTCCTGTGCCTATTTTGTAGGTACAGAACTTTATGGGGGAGGGTTAATCTTCTGCTTCAGGACCCTTGAATACTAGGACCAATACTGCTTTCTTTTCTCCTTCCCTCTAGGATGTCAAAAGTACCCTGGAAAAGTGAGTGATTTCCTGTATCTCTTTGAGTGAGTTAGGCCTTGGTTTAGAGTCTAGAGGTGCAGTAGAGTTAGAGGAGTAAGTGTGGGAAGCTGTGCAGTGTGTGGGTAAGATGTGGAAGTAGGGTCCTTGCCCCATGAAACCAGTTAGAGGGCAAATCATTAGGCCATTCTTGGTGAGGAGACTAATAATGTAGAAGCAGATTCTGTTCTGTGCTGTGGGGGTATGTTGTTAAGTGCCGTTGAGTCAGTTCCACCTCACAGCAACCCTGTATACGGTTTCCAAGGAGCAGCTGGTGAATTTGAACCGGCAACCTTGTGGTTCATACAATCCTTGTAGTCCAATGTATTATCCCACAGTGCCACACCAGCTGTGTCTAACAGGATGGAAGGAGGAGGAAGGTATCAGAAGAAGGGAAGGATGTTTTATCATTATTCACGAAATTGGAAAACGCCTCTGGAAAGTTCTGAGTCTCGTTCGCAAGGTTAGACTCTGTCCAGGGGACTTATATGGTTCCCCATAGATTGGTAAAAGAAAAGAGTAGGCAAGTGTTTATCTTCAGGGAATGGTGATAAAGTGGGAAGAGGGAAACTGTTTCTCACTGAAGATGACAACATCTGAATACTTAGTTAGGTGACTGGAACTTCTCCCTGACCCTACCCTGTCTTCCCCTATCTCCCTACCCTCCTAGATGTGAAAAAATGAAGACCATGGAGGTGACTTCTGTATCCATACAGCTGGAGAAGAACTTCAGCAATTTCCCTCGACAGTACTTTGCCCTGAGGAAGATCCTTAAGCAACTAATTGGTGAGTTGTTCCCCAAAGAAAACTAACAGAGGAATCAGCAAAGGACAGAAACTCCTTAGGTCTTAACCTCATCTGGGCTTCAGTTACCCCTGTCACTTTCCAGAGTCACACTCACCCAGTCCTTTACCTGGCTTTCAGTGTCACTGTTAGCTAAGCCAGAGAGACCAAGTGAGAGGAAGCCTTAGGCATCTTCTGCTCTTATGCCTGGAGAGCTTCCATAATTTGCCCAAGTCATCAGGAGAGTGACCACATAGTATCTAACCTGAAACACTGTTAAGACTGAAAGGGATCCCATGTAAACTATCACATAATTCACAATAAAACATTTAAAAAAAAAGGAATGAAAGGGAGTGCATGAATATTTATGCCGAGAAAAGAGGCGTACTGCAGGCGCAGGATCACTTTGTCCCTAAACCATACTGTTGCCTGGCTCTGTATCCTTCTAGCACATCCCATTCTTTTTGGCCCTTGACTGTGACGAGTTAGTCTCCACACAGTGAGGTAGAGGATGTCAAAGGGGGACGTTTAGAGGACTAGGCTGGAAGCTGGACCACCTACCCTTACAGAGTCAGATCTCTGACATTAGGGTCAAGTTGAAAAGTGAAACCATTGTTCCCTCCCCTCTTGGGCAGTGACATCCTGGATTGAGGAAGCAAACCAAACCATGTGTTCTGGGGACCTTTTAAAGAAGAGAGTTTAGTTAAGGCAGGCTGGAAGAGTGAGGCAGGGGCGATTAGCTATTCCCGTTCTTATCTAGCTCCCCACTCTGGCTTCTCCCGCCAGCGGACGTGACCCTGGACCCTGAGACTGCACATCCTAACCTAGTTCTGTCAGAAGATCGTAAGAGTGTCAAGTTTGTGGAGACAAGACTTCGGGATCTCCCTGACACACCACGGCGCTTCACCTTCTACCCTTGCGTCCTGGCTGCTGAGGGTTTCACCTCCGGTCGACACTACTGGGAGGTGGAGGTGGGCGACAAGACCCACTGGGCAGTGGGTGTGTGCCGGGACTCCGTGAGCCGAAAGGGCGAGCTAACTCCACTCCCTGAGACTGGCTACTGGCGGGTACGGCTGTGGAATGGGGACAAATATGCGGCCACCACCACACCTTTTACCCCTTTGCACATCAAGGTGAAACCCAAGCGGGTTGGCATATTCCTAGACTATGAGGCTGGCACGCTGTCTTTTTACAACGTCACAGACCGCTCTCATATCTACACCTTCACTGACACTTTCACTGAGAAACTTTGGCCCCTCTTCTACCCAGGCATCCGGGCTGGTCGGAAGAATGCTGCTCCACTTACAATTAGGCCCCCAACAGATTGGGAGTGATAGTCAGGAGGGGACATGGGAATAATCGGGTAAGGCAGGGTCGAGCAGTGGGCCTTCCATCCTGTGTCCTGATGGAGCGTCTTCCTGTCTGCCTGGATCCAGTCTTGAATCATCCAGGAGAAGCACCTTGGTTTGTAAGATGGTGTGTGTGGAGGAGAGGACTGGGCTGGGATGAGAGCACAACTGTGTCCCCCTCCTGACTTTCGAGCTGAGGAGCTAGTACGCAGGGGATTGCCTCCCCTAATTCCATCAGAGTTCTGTTGCACAAGGACAGGTTGGCAAGGAAAGAGGGGCTTTTCCAGAAACTATCAATAAAGGGGACTCTGCATTCCTCAAGCTAAGGAAGGAAACAGAAAGCCCTTTACACATCTTTTAGGGTGTTCCTTGATCCAGAACAGTCCTATTTCTTGAGGAAGATCCCTGAGGTTGAATAAAGATGAATGACAGTTCTCAAGGTTCTAGAAGTTGGAGAGTATTTCTGGAGGCAGATGTTAGGCATTACGAAGGTTAGAGAAAGGAGTTTCTTTGGTCTTCTATTCACTGGTTAAGGTTACTAATTTGAGTAGGATTGACCAAAAGCAGGGAATCAGGGAAGGTTGCAGGGAGAGGAGAGAAGAAAGCGGGAGAACCCTGATCCCTGTGCTGTCTTTGAGCAGAGCTGACTTCATTGCCTGCCTCCTTATGCTTTGTTGTCTACAAGAAACAATCATCTTGCTCCTCAAGAAGGAAGGTGGAAGAGATTCTGCAGACATGTCTGCTCTTTCACTGCTTTCCCAAAAGAACTTGGAAGGGAGAGAGTGCGGTATTAGAGAAAGAGAGTGGTATTTCTACCCAAAGCCCTGACTTCATCAAAGGCTGGTAAGTCGTAGTCACTCTCCTTGTCAGCCTGTTACCTGGCTGAGGTGTCCACACCAGAAAGGAAGAAAGGTAATGTCTTTCTCACCCTGAGGACGGGTAGAAAAAGATGGTTTGGGTAGGGAAGGCCAGATAAGCAACTTGCTTTCACCTACATGCACCTGGCCTGGAATGTGTATTCAGAAGAGCCAGTCGTTGGCTTGTTTGTTGCTGTCCCTCACCCTTTGCCATTCCCCTTTTCAAAGAACACAAATTATTTTAATAGGCCAAAATAAACATGCTGCAGGGTACATATGTTGTCAAAAGGTAAATGATGCATGCCAAACCAAACTAAAATAACTTGGATTACCTCTGCTTTGAGTAGTCAAGAGTTGACAGAAGATTGGGACAAGAGACTACAATTTGCTGAGGGCATTTCAGCTCCTCCTCTCACCTCAACAGGACTTTGTCCAGACTCTTCTCCTTTTACCTTTGTGCCTTGACTGGTTCTTTGGTTGTTTGAAATAATATGGAGCAAAGGACCTACTGAAGTCATCTGTGTTGTGTGGTGATTTGAAAATGACCTGGTTTTGATGTAGGAATCGCTTGGGGTGTTAAAATTGCATGTTCCTGGGTCTCATTCTCAGTGAATAATCAGGATCCAGGGTGGGGTAAGGAGGGACTTGGGTATCTGCATTTTGAACACACTATACCCAGCTGAATCTGGGGACTTGTGAAACTGGTCCTGAAGGAGGTCTCAACCATTTTCTAAGCTGGAGAACCGATTCCCTGCATCAGCCTGGCAGGAGTCAGAGAGGCACCATATATGTCTTCTTTTGGTCTCAGGGTTCATTTCTATTCTTCCTTCGCTCTGCTTTTAAATTGAAGAGGATGTACACAGATGCCAAACAGCAAATGGGAGATGGATCAGAAGTAAGAGCGTATCCTGTATGTCTTCCTGAGGAATGGGATATCTGTCATTTCATGGGTGTTTTTAATTGCCATCTAGTTGGTTCCAACTCAGTGACCCTATTTCAGGGGTGGGGGGTGTTATTGACAGGTTTCTGTGTTCCCACACCTAAGAATAGGAAATTCACCAAGTGAGGAGTACCTATATGTGCAGAAATACGTTTCTTAGGAAGGAATGGGAATAAGCTGTGTTTTCATCTGCCATGAACTCTCTTCTCTCCATCACTCTCATGGCCCTTCCCATTTTGACTTTCAGTGGCACAAATGTCTTTTAGAATGTATGAGGGAGCTTCACAAAGTTTATGGGAAAACTCCGTTATCTTTTCATTATGTTTTCCCACAAACTTTTTGAAGTCCCCTCATGTAATCAGTCTTCCTTCTGTCTGTAGATCTTCAGGCATCTGCCTATAGCTTCGGGGACTGCATGTCTTAACTTTTTTGATTGCCATAACCATCTTCCAAACCTGTCTGCATGGAGAGGTTGGTGGTGGTGGTGATGTGCCTTGGAGTCGGTTTCGACGCATAGTGACCCTGTACAGGGTTTCCGAGGCTGTAAATCTTTTATGGGAGCAGAAAGCTTCATTGTTCTCCCGCGGAACAGATGGTAGTTGTGAACTGCTGATCTTGAGGTTCACAGCCTGATTCGTAACCCCTATGATATGGAGTTCTGGTAGCGTAGTGGTTACGAATCGGGCTGTGAACATCAAGGTCAGCAGTTCGAAACTACCAGCGGTTCTGCAGGAAAAAGATGAGGCTTTTTGCTCCCGTAAAGATTTACAGCCTCGGAAACCCTGTGCAGGATCGGTATGAGTCGGAACCGAATCCAGGACACTTAGCAGCAACAACAACGATATGGAGAGGGTTTGTTGTTGTTAGGTGCCATCAAGTGGGTACCAACTCATAGTGACCTTATGCACAGCAGAACGAAACACTGCCCGATCCTGGGCCAACCTTATTACTGTTGCCACTCTTGAGTCCATCGATGCTGCCATTTCTGAAAATGTTTAGAAGTTTAAGATCGTCTGATCCAGTAGTCTTTCCAGTCTCTAGATAACTGATTTGGGACTTGAAGTCTCTGGAACAAAGCCAAAACTCAGAGGACCATTGAATTCTATGAACAAATGAGTATTTAAGAATGGAGAATGGCGACAAAATCGGACCTCAGAAGAGCAGTGAGTGCAAAGAAGCGGCTCGGGGTGGGGTGGGGACGGACTACATTTCCCAGAAGCCCGTGCGCGGGCGCTGAGGGTTTGGCGAGTTCCGGTCGGAATCTTCGGACAGGCAGGCGTAGAACGCGCTCCGCCAATATGACTGGGCCGGTGAAGGACCGCGAGGCCTTCCAGAGGCTAAGCTTCCTGTACCAGGTGGGTCTGTGGTTCGGGTGCTCACCTGGACAGCGGCCCAGTTCAGTCAGCCCAGTGACCACTGCCCTCCTCCAGGCCGCCCACTGCGTCCTCGCGCAGGACCCTGAGAATCAGGCTCTGGCGCGGTTTTACTGCCACACGGAGAGGACCATCGCGAAGCGGCTGGTCCTGCGGCGGTGAGCGGGCGCGGAGCTCGGCGGCGGGCTGGCGGGCAGGGCCCGGGAATAGCCGAGAAGGAGCGCGGGCACCCGCCCACCTTCCTCCTCCATCCCCATGGACCCTTCTGTGAAGAGGACCCGGTGGGTGTCGTGGCTGCTCCTCCTTCCTCATCCCGGATCTGACGTGCACCCAGCGCCAGAGACGTGAGTGCTTCTGCGGGGGTCGATGATTGCAGAGCAGGGTATGGGGGAGACAAGCGACCCCTCCTCGCTTTACGTGTGGGTGACTCTGGCCTAGGATTTGAGGGCGCCTGCGCTCTCGAGCGCCTGGACAACTCAAGTTTAAACCTGACTTTTATTCCCAATCAGGACAGTAAAGAAATAATAATGGTGGTGGTGTGCTGTCGAGTCCATTCTGACTCACAGAGACCCTGTATAGGGTTTCGGAGGCTGTAAATCTTTACGGGAGCAGAAGCCTCATTTTTCTACCTCGGAGCCGCTGGTAGTTTTGAACTGCTGACCGTGAGATTAGCAGCCCAATTGGTAATCCACTAGGCTACCAGGGCTCCTTACAAATAATAATGTTGTTAATTGCGGTCATTCGGTTCTGACTCATAGTGACTAAGAAACTCATCGGGTTTCCAAGAAGTGGCTAGTGAGTTCGAAGCACTGACCTTGCTGTTCAAACCGACATTACAGTCTAGTACATTAATCCACAGCGCCACACTGTTGTTGTTAGGTGCAGTCGAGTCAATTCCGACCCATAGCGACCCTGTATAGGATTTCCAAAGAGCAGCTGGTGAGCTTGAACCGCTGACCTTGCAGTTCAAATGGCTGTGCACTCTGGCGCATTAACCCACAGCGCGACACTAGGCCTCCAGAAATAATAATGTTGTTGTTAGGTGCCATCAAGTCCTTACCGACTCGTAGCAACCTTATGCACTGCAGAACGAAACACTTCCTGATCCTGGGCCAACCTCACTATTGTTGCTATGCTTGAGCCCATTGATGCTGCCACTTTACCAATCCTTGTCATTGGGGTTCTTCCACTTTTTCTCTGACCCTCCACCCTACCAAACATGATACCCTTCTCCAGCAGCTGGTGCCCCCTGACAATATGTCCAAAGTATGAGAGACTAAGTGTGGCCATCTTGGCCTCCAAGGAGCACTCTGGCTGCACTTCTTCCAACACAGATCTGTTGGTTCTTTTGGAAACCCATGGTACTTTCAATATTCTCCTCCAACACCATAACTCAAAAGCATCAATTCTTCTATGGTCTTCCTTATTCACTATCCAGCTTTCACATGCATATGAGGTTATTGAAAACACCATGGCTTGGGTCAGGTGCACCTTAGTTCTCAAGTTGACAGATTTGCCTAATGCACTACGTCGTTTGATTTCTTGACTGCTGCTTCCGTGAGTGTTGATAGTTGATCCAAGAACAATGAAGTCCTTGACATTGTCAATCTTTTCTCTGTTGATAAGAATGTTATTTATTGGTCCAGTGGTGAGGATTTTTGTTTTCTTACATTGAGATGCAATCCATACTGACTGCTGTGTATATTACTTGGCCTTGCAGAAGACAGGATTCCCAGCACCATTCACTTGTTGTTGTTAAATGCCGTCGAGTCGATTCCGACCCATAGCGACCCTGTATAGGGTTTCCAAGGAGCAGCTGGTGAGCTTGAACCACCAACCTTGCAGTTCAAACAGCTTTGCAGTCTGGCGCATTAACCCACAGCACCACACCAGGACTTCTAGCAAATGTTAATTTTCTGCTATGTGTCAAGTATTGTGCTAGATTCATTATTTTCATTGACATTGCCATCTGTTGAGTTGGTGGTTATGAGCTGTCGAATTTGTTCCTACTCATAGCAATTCTATAAGGGTGTTGTTACCTGCCATCAAGTAGTTTCCAACTCATAGCAACTCTGTATAGGGTTTCCAAGGAGCAGCTGGTTCATTGGAACCACTGACCTTGTGGTACAAACCAACCTTGCGTTTCCAGTGCATTATCCCATAGTGCCACACCAAGAATGGGTGTACGAGGCTTTAAATCTTTAGGGGAGTAGAAAGCCTCATCTTTCTCCTACTGAGCAACTGGTAGATTCAAACTGCTGGCCTTGCTCTTTCTTAGCAGCCAAGCTGGTAATCATCTTCTTAAACAATGCTTTGCTTTTTTTCAAGGTCTCTTTTTTTTTCCATATAAAGTTAGTGATCAGTTTTTCCATCTCTTTAAAGTATGATGTTGGAATCTTGATTGGGACTGCTTATATTTTTGGATTGCTTAAGGTTCATATTTTCATAATGTTAAGTCTTCCTATCCATAAGCATGTATATTCTTCTATTTTTTCTAAATCTCTTTTGGTTTCCTGTAGTTGTGTTATCTAATTTTCTTCGTATACGTCTTTTGTTTCTATGGTTAGGTTTATTCTTGAGTATTTCATTTTTGGGTGGCTTTTATAAATAGTATTATTTCCCTAATTTCCTTTTCAGAACTGGGACAGATAATAATTGAAATTGAGTAGGAAGATGATTTAATTGCGTTGAGTGCTGAGTTATTTATTTATACCTGTGAGGTTCATGAGAAGCAAAGGGAGTGGGAGGTGGAAATTCTAGGCACCTGTGTGAGGATTCCAAACAAGGGAACTTGTGTTGCTACAAGGAAATGAGAGTGTAGGAGGCTGAATGGTAAAGTAGTAGGAGGAAGACATGAAACTGGATGACAATACTGAGGTCAGGTCTTGAAGAGTCTTGTTAAGGAGTTTGGACTTTACATTTAAGGGTAGGAAGAAATCCATGGGGTATATATGGGGCATGGCACCATCAGATTTGTGTTTAAAGGAGGAAAAATAGAATTTTTACTGAAAAAAATTATTGAAAGGCTGTGGAGGCCAAAATGGGTGCAGAACATGTTTCCTGCTAAACCTGGGTTCCCTCTTCTTTTTTCTCTACATCCACCCCAGGCTGTAAAGGACAGCGCTGGACAGTACAGACGTGCCTAACATGCCAGCGCAGCCAGCGATTCCTCAATGATCCCAGACATTTGCTATGGGGAGACCGGCCTGAAGCCCAGCTGGGGAGCCAGGCAGGTAAGAGGTGGTACAGGAAAATGGAGGCTATCCCAGGTAATAGGGACACACCGGTGAGTTCTGGGTTTGTAGGAGAGGCTCCACCACCAAGTCTTAATTCTGTCCTTCTAATTCTGCTTCTGTACTCAGATCCCAAACCACCACAGCCTCTGCCAAGCACAACTCACCCCATTCCAGCCCATCTTCCTGAGGAGAAAGTGCAGCCTCAGAGTCCCAATCATCAATGATGGACTTATCCTACCTGCCAAAGTCATAAAGTTTAATTCTATTTCATGTGTTTTTGTGTTCTGTGGGGATTTTAGCTCTTACTTTGTTTTCCTTTCTTTCTGTTTGTATTTCTGTGGTCACTGTGTAACCTCTCCTTTATCTTTACCATCCGTGTGCTCCCATCTCCAGGACCCAGGCTCCAGTGCAGTACCACATTTGAACTTCAGGTTCCAGAACTTTCTGCAAGATCTCAAGCCTTCTTAAGACATTCCATCTTTAGGACAATCCATGTTTAGGTAGAACTGACTCTTGACTAAAGGGTTAGATAGACTGTTGATAACACTGCTCTGTTTTTTAATGAGGCTAAAAATATGAGGACATAAAGCATGGCCAGTTCATATCCTCCAGGTCTACTTTTCCCAATCTCAGTGTTTTCTTTTCTAAAGAGGGAAATGGTGCAAACCTGAAATAGCAAAGTCAGAGTTGTTAACAGAAGGACACTGGGGGGTGAAGAAGACTGATTGAGAGCCTGTCTTGAATTCAAAGAGAATTAGAAAACTTAATTTCTCAGCAAAGAGAATAATTGTGATTTTCTCTACTTTACGAGTATGATTGTGCAGATATTGCACAAGTGACTCCATACGATAAGCACTGGAACCACAAGGTCAGTGGTTTGAGCCCACGATCCACTTTGAGGGAGAAAGATGAAGCTTTCTGCTCCCGTGAAGATTTAAAGCCTCAGAAACCCCATACATGGTTATTATGAGTCAGAACTGGCTCCATAAAACTTAACAGTTCCATAGGTAAACTCTCAAGGTTGTCTGGAAAAACCTTGAATGACTAAAATTTTCTTATAATCCCTGTAAAACCTACATAAAGACAGAATTCCCAAACTAACCATTTTGCTAGCTTCCAGCTAATCAATTTACCCTAAAAGTGTATAAATTCACTATTCACAGAAAGCAGTTTTTTTTTCTGTCTTGTCTCTTATAAACCCTGTGTTGTAGTAATCTATTGCTGCATAAAAATCACTTCACAGTGCTGCTTTAAAAATGGTTTATTATTTCCTCTGCTTCTGTGGGCTAGGAATTCTGACAGCTTGGCAAGGTGGTTCTTCTCGCCTGCCTGGTGGCTGGTCTGAAAGGCCCAAGAAGCCTTCACTCTCATGCCTGACACCTCATCATTTCTCCATATGGCCTTGCCATGTAGGTAGCTTTGATGTCATCCCAGCATGACAATCTCAGGGTGGTTGGACAGCTTCTTACATAGCTCTGACTTCCATAGAGTGCATTTCAAGAGAACAGGCTCTCATTGTACAAATGCTTATCAAGCCTCTGCATCGTGCTTGTTAATGATCCCTTGGCCAAAGCATGTCACATGGTCAAGTTGCGCTGATGTTACAACCTACCACATCTGATTTTTGTCTTAGTCTCTGACTTAGTCTGGGGAGTGAAGAGAGACTGATTGAGAGACTGTCTTGAATTCAAAGAAAATTAGAAAACAATTTCTCAGCAAAGAGAATAATAATTGTGATTTTCTCTACCTCACAAGTATGTTTGTCTCAAATGAAGGAGTTTATATAGAGGCACCTTGAAAGTTAGATATTCTAAATTAATGGAGTACAAATAATGATCATAATAATACTTTGAGAATAGTAACATGTAGCAAAATATATTAGAAAAGATAGGGTGTGGATGTCAGGGACTCTGAGTTACTGTCCTTACAATTGGCATTTGTCAAATGGGACAGTTTAACGATGTTCTATTCCTCTAGTTTCTTCTCACTGTGGAGACTGTACTCTGTGGCAGGGCATTGGGCTATACACATCAGTGAGCAAAAGAATGCCAGGAATATAAGCAAAAGATGAATTTGTAAAGGGATCTGTACTATGGAAAAAATGAGAGAGTAGGGAAGATTTGGGGTACAGGTTACCATTTTAAACAGAGCAGCCAAGCTAAGCAGCACTGAGAAGTGACTACAGTAGGCCTGTAGTTACCTCTTCCATATCCCCTCACACCACCCCAGAGGTGACTTCCTGCGGATACTTCCCAGACATGCAACAGCTTCTGTCTCTCTGCCCAAGGTATTATTTGGCAGCAGGAGCTGTGCTGGGTCAGACAAAAGTACCAGGTAGGAATGCCCTGGGCACAATCCCAAAACAATCATTGGCAGATCAGTATTCCTTAGAGTCTGGGTCTCCATCAGGGTTGTGGAACACTATGCTTATACACACCTTTTATAGGCTTTCTTCCCTCTCCTGTTTCCGTTCCCCTCTCTCACCATAATTCCTAGGATCACCTTCCAGATTAAGGTGCATCCAAGAATTTAAGGCAACCCAAGTCCTTGTTTGTGGACTCCTGGTGTGGCGCTGTGGGCTAATGTGTCAGACTGCAAAGTTGTTTGAACTGCAGGGTCAGTGGTTCAAGCTCTCCAGCTGCTCCTTGGAAACCCTATACAGGGTCACTATGGGTCGGAACCGACTCAACGGCACTTAACAACAACAATAACAAGTCCTTGTTTCAGGGTTTTCTTGGGAGAATCCAAACTAAGAGTGACATTTGGGAGAGTAAAAGGATGCTAACCATGAAGACATCTAGGGGAGAGCCTCCTAGACAGGGAACAGCTAGGGCAGAGGTCCTGAAGTGATGGCCTCCCCAGTGTGCTCAAGGACCAGAAAGTGGCTCAGTGTGAGCAAGAGGGAGAGTACAAAATGTGGCCACAGGGACAGTGGGAACCAGGGGTCATTAGAACATCAGAGAAATGTGATTTATTCATTGGGAAACCATTGGAAGTTACAGTGACACTGGCATGAGCTGATAAAGCATTTCTAAAAGATCACTTTGTTCTTTTAATTGTAGACCAGGAGAGCAAAGTTGGAAACCGGTTAGGAGGTTATTATAACCATCCAGATGGAAGATAATGACTTAGTTGCTGTTGTGTGCCATCAAGTCAATTCTGACTCATAGTGTCCCTGTGTTGGTAAGTGTTGTTTCCACTCATAGCAACCCTATCTGTGTAGGGTTTCCGAGGAACGGCTGGTGAATTTGAACTGCTGACCTTACTCAAACCGACCTTGTGGTCCAGTGAATTATCCCACAGCGCCATACCAGAGAACAGAAAGCCTCATCTTTCTCCCACGGAGAGACTGATGGATTTGAACTGTTGACCTTGAACCAGGGTGTAACAAGGCATAGAAAAATCTTCATATTTTTTTTTTATATAGTTTGACAGGATAGGCCATAGATTTCCTCATGGACTAGCAGTGGGATTTGAGGCAAAAGAGATGGTACACAGAGCAAGACTAGTCTGTATTTTGAAGAGAGCATATTTTATGACTTCTTTGACTGGAATATTGAAAGAATGTATTGCATCTCCAGTCTGATGTGGGGAATAGGTGGGAAGCTGGGTTTTCAATTCAATCTGGTCACCCCCAGGACTTGAGAAATCAAATACCAATCAAACTGATTCCAACTCGTGGCAACTCCATATGTCCTAGAGTATGATTGTGCTCTAAAGGATTATCAGTGGCTAATTTTTTAGAAGGTCTCCAGGCCTTTCTTCTGAAGTATCTATTGGTGGACCTGAACCTTCAACCTTTTGGTTAGCAGTTGAGCATGTTAACTGTACCATTCAGGAACTCATGCAGAAATTATAATAATATTTACAATGGAGAGACATTCCATAACTTTCCTAATGTTCTTTGAATTTTTCTTTCTCTAATGTTGATGGTATGAGCGTTCTTAGTGTATATTTTCTCATAAAGATAAAGACTTCGAATATATATATATATATGTCGTTGTTACGTGCTGTGGAGTCGGTTACTGACTCATAACGACCCTGTACTTGGTTTCCGAGGCTGTAAATCTTTATGGGAGCAGAAAGCCTCATCTTTCTCCCACAGAGCAGCTGGTAGTTTCGAACTGCTGACCTTGTGGTTCGCAGCCCGATTCATAACCACTACGCTACCAGAGGGGCCCAAAATGCATTAAATGTGGAAGAGAGAAAATTTCTTCAACAAATGATTTCTAGCAAAATTAGAAATCCATTTGCAGAATAATGAAACAAGGCTCATACCTTACACCAGATTTTTTTAATGAACTCAATGTGGACTAAGACATAAATGTAAAATGTAGAACTATAAAGATCATCAATGAAAAAATAAGGACAAGGTTAGGGGCTCTGATGCCATGGCATAAATACACTATCAAACAAACTGAAAACAAAATAGATGGCTGGGACCTCCTAAAAATTGGACACCTATGTGCATCAAAGGTTTTCACCAAAAGTAAAAAGATAGCACACCAACTGGTAAAAAATGTTTGGCAATGATATATCAGAGAAAGGACTTTGTTGTTGTTGTTGTTGTTAGGTGTTGAGTCAGTTCCAACTCATAGCAAATCTATGCACAACAGAACGAAACACTGCCCCATTCTGTACCATCCTCACAATCCTTATACTCCAGTTCGTTGCTGCTGCATCATTGTTCCAGTTCATCTTGTTGGAAGTCTTCCTCTTTTCACTGACCCTCCATTTTACTAAGCATGATATTCTTCTCCAGGTATTGGTCCCTCCTGATAATATGTCAGAAACGTAAGAGACAAACTCTTGCCATCCTCGCTTCTAAGGAGCATTCTCGCTGTACTTCTTCCTACACAGATTTCTTTTTTCTTCTGGCAGTTCATGGTACTTTTAATATTCTCTAATACCATAAATCAAATACATCAATTCTTCCTTATTCATTATCTCTCCAAAATTTAGAGAATACTTCAATGCCTCAAGATGAAGAAAAATACTCCTATTAAAAAATGGGCAGAGCCGTCTTCTGCCTATAACTGATTAGAATACCTAAAATGGGGCTACAATGTGTCCAGTGAAGGAGGTTCACTGAGGAGCCTCTGCATTACATGGGAGTATAGGTGGAAGCCCGAACCACAACCAGACCTTCAAAGACGGGAAATTTCTCCACTTGAAAGGACAAGCAGACCAGCCGG